TTTTAGCATACAAATTTATATATTAGACAGTTTAAAAAATAATTCAACTAAGAGCTACTTATTTAAACTCTTTGTATTTATATATATTATTTTTTAAACAAATAAGAATTATCAGGAAATTTTTTAATAAAATACATATCAATTACTATTTGCAGAGATGATTAGCATCAATTTATATTGATTATAATTGATTGTAATTATTCAAATCTAAATGATTGTAATTGATATAAATTAATACTAATTGATTACAATCATTTAGATTTAAATAATTACAATCAATTATAATCAATATAAATCGATGATAATTAACTCTGCAAATAGTAATCAATATATACCTTATTTAAAAATTTCCTGATAATATATTATAAGAGAAGTATGTCTATTTTGATGCAGCTAATATTTTCAATAAATATCACATGATATATTGATCAGAGCCAGATAATTTTAGTACTATTTGATTCATCTCGATGAAACGAATCAAATAATACCAAAATCATCCAATTCTAATCACTAAATCATGAGATATCACTTATTAAAGGTTGTCTAAAAAATATGTTTTTAATTTGATATAGTGTCTAATTTGACACAGATATAACATTTATGATAAATATTATATGATATATTGATCAGAATCACAAAATTTTGGTATTATTCGATTTGTCTTATTAAGATAAATTGAATAGTACCAAGATCTTGCAACTCTGATCAATATATTACATAATATTTATTGTAAATATTTACTTGCGCCAGATTAGGTATATCTACCTTGAGCTATTTTGGTTAAACAGAGTATCTTGAGAACTATTAATTAGAATTATATAATTTTGGTATCATTCAATTTGTCTTAATGAGATGAATCGAATAATATAAGAATCATGTGATTTTGATTGATAGTTCTTGAAATATCGTTATGCGTCAAATTAGGCACTATGCCAAATTAGACATGCCTCTCTTATTATTTTATTTTTAAATACTAATTTAAAACTTTAAAGTAGACTTATATCTTATAAAAAGCTTTTGTTTTTAAAATAAACCTACTAAAGTTTTCTATATCTACAATCTAGCTAATTTAAACTTTAGTAATTTATATTAAATCTAAAAATAAATACTTGTAGCCTTTTATCTCTACTACTATTATCTATTTTTGCTCTTGTAAAGTTTATTCAAATCTAGTATTGGGCGTGTACAGATCTGTATTGAGATCCGCCCGGTCCAGTCCGAAATATAGGCTAGCTTTCTGATTGGTCAAACACGTTCGGAAGTAATCGGAAATGTAGATAGTGAAGCAACGTAAAAGATGAGCAGGTGTATCGGAGAGATACGGGAAGTAAAATTTTTTTTAAAGAGAGAAGTTTTTTTTTTTAAACAGACCCGGGCGGGTCGAGTCCGAAATCGGACCCAAAACTTAGATCCGATTCGGTCATCGGACCGGATCCGGGTCTTTAAAAATATCCACCGGTCCGATTCATGCGGAACACTAATAACAACTGTAAATGTTATTATCCGTCCATATGGGGCGGCCGCGATTTCATTTGGGGGTTTTAAAATTAGCCTAAATTTTTGATCGTCGCGTTGGCCAATCAAAATCGTGAATTTCCGCGCGGCAGGTTTATAATACATCATAAAAATTTTTACATGTGACATATCGTGTGATTTGATATCAGATATATGTACAATCCAAATATATTTTTTTTTTAATTATTAAAAAAAAAACTTTATCATATGGCAGAAAACGTTAATGTACCTCCTATGTTGACCCTCGAAAATTATGAAAACTTTCGAACAAACGCATATGTAACGATAGAGACCTATGCTAGAAAACAAAAATCTATACTTCCACCTGGGGAGGTTGCTTTTTGTCGGACTGTTGATCCCGCGTCTGCTCTCGCGCTAGAAAGACTCTCTACTAAAATAAAAAATAAACTGAATCGCTTGTTAGTAAATGCCGACATACCCGGTGCTGAAATGCTCGGTAGAGTTAACGACGCAAAAGATTTTGATATTTGGTTTAAAGATTTGGTTACCATGAATGATTCCTTGATTGACGGTGTGGTATGTATAAATTCTAAACTAGTCAATACCTAAACAAGACTCTCAAACGTTTAATTTTTTAGAATGCATCCTTGGATGAATTAACCGGGCGTAGTCAAAAATTCGCGAGTTCTACAGCAGACGCATCAACATCAATGGTGGCACAAGTTAGGGCTAAAGTACGCTTAATTTAACTTTTTAAATTTCGCTTGTTGAATTATTTTTTAACCTTCGATTATCGATTAGTCAGGGGATATCAACATTGTATACTCTCGTAACATTACTCGACCACAAGCAAAGTTTAAGGATAAAATTGACAACTCTGGCGCTCCATTTATTCCTAAACTTCCAAATAAACCGAACGCAGTTGTACCGCTAAAACTGGACGGTATTGAAGAAGGATTTGTGTAGGTCTTGATCTTTATATGTAATCCGCCTTTACTGTTTACATTTCAAATAATGATATATTGAAATTATTAGGTATCCCCATCCGTACCGATACGAGATAACTCATCTTACGTATCCTTCATTCATTTTTGAAGAGAAGGAGCCAATACAATATCGACCTCTTGATGCTACCCCACTTACTTGGGTTGATACATTGGAAGGGCTAACTGCTATGTGCCAGAAATTAGAAGCGTCTCAAGCAATTGCAGTGGACCTTGAGGTGCATATATATATTGTTTTATGATTCATATTTTACGTTGTTTTCAGTCTTTTGTAATATTAACATTTATTCATTACGTTTATTCTGTCCATTAATTATGTCGTTTTATTACGCACACTTATTATGTCAACTTATTATATCGATTGACCATTAGCATCACGATTATCGATCATATCAAGGTTTTACTTGTTTAATACAGCTCAGCACGCGAGATGAGGATTTCATTGTGGATGCTTTGGAATTGAGACATCATTTACATATATTAAATAATTCTTTCACAAACCCTAATATCTTGAAGGTAAAATTCTCTTAAATATATATATATATATATATGCAGTGAGGCTTCATGCAGTCACACTCATTTATAATAACACCACCCATAAGCACGCTTTTTTTTGGTCCCAGATATAATAAAAGGAATTTGACCTCTTTAGAAGCTGACCCGAAGGGCGTGATTGTAGGGAGGTCTTATTGTATATATATATCAATTTTCTTTTTATTAGAAGTTTTTTAATTTTTATTT